TTCTTTGCAATGTTATCCGTAGTTTGTCATTTACCACACAGTCAAAATCCTTTGTATAATCAACAAAGCACAAGCCAAATACATTCTGGAATTCTCTGTTTTCATCTACAATTCATGTGATGCCAGCAATGGTCCATTGTTCCACGTCCTCTTCTTAATCCAACTTGAATTTCTGGTAGCTCTGATGTACTGTTGCAACTGCTTATGAATTATCTTCAGCAAAATTTTACTTACTACATGGTTAGTAAAAAATGTTTTATTTATTTATTGCCTTTGTTCTTTGTTTGGTGATGTTTCACTTAGAAATACACAAATTAGTGCGTTACAATCAATAACTGTATATTTTCATAAAACCTACATAGATAGCCATTTTATTATCCTTGTGACTTTTACGGAGATTTTTTCTTTCTTTTTTTTTTGGTAATTAAATTTTGTTTTCAACTTATGTGAAATGTAAATGGTTTCATAGTCAAATCTACAAAGTAAGATACTCGTATATTCAGAGAAGTCCTAATTTTATACTGGTGCCTCCATCGTGTTCTATTCCTTCCCTTATATATGCTCATTCATTTTTAATTTTACAGTTTAGGCTTCCAGTATTTTTTCATATGAGCAAGAAGCACAAATGTATTTCTATATTATACTCAGATACATACATTTTTTCTCCTTTAAAAAATATATCTATATACTTTTCTCCTATCTTTTTTACTTCTTTTTCACTTAACACCACACCATAGAGACTGTTCCATAGGATTATATATTCTTTACTTCTTTTTACAGCTCATCTGGACGGTGTGATTACATGTTATTTTATAGTGCACTATTTGGTGCCAGAATGTTTTGTTTTGCTATCCTCATAAACTTCAAGGATATAAGCAAAAAAGGATCCATCAAACTTATTTGTAGCCTTGTTTTTAGGTTACTAAATCTGTCAAATTAGAAGAGTCAAACTAATTTTTAAGTTCCTTTTAGATCTTTGAACATATTATTCACTTTGCTTAGTTCTGAAATCAGAACATTTCATCTAAAACTACAGCCACTTAATCTATAACTAATGGGGTATAAGTTCTTCCAAGGATGGAAATATTCTAGGAGTTTTCCAAACAACTCCTTGAAACAAATTAATCCAGGTTTAATTGATAGCATCTCTTTCTTATAACATACCAGACCTATCAACCAAACAGAATCCCAATAGAACTCACTGGTTACTCTAACACAAAAACTGACAATGACCAGAAATACAAGATTATCATGGATGATATAAGTGAACTGGGAGAAACATGGTGTTCTCTAAGGTTGAGTTCAGGAAAAGAGGGAAAGTTTCCTGAGTCTACTGAGAGACAGACACTCAGATAGTTCAGAGGGAAACCTTTGAAGGGATCTGTGTTGCTTGGCTTCACCCAAGCACTATGTACGCCAGTCCCTGTTGAATAAGAGTACTGTACGAAGGGAAAGGGAATACAAAACCAGAGCAGGTTTACCCTTCATGAGAAATGACACTTCTCTCATTCTTGTTTCCCAGGAAAATCAAATTTTAAGAAGTAAACTGGTCTCTCAGGGAACTGAATGAATAAGGAACTCACTTTTTTCCTCTTTCTCTTTTCAAGATTCTGCTTTTCTGCCAGTGACTTGACTGCCTGGATCCAAGCATCAGCCATTCGCCGGATCCGCAGTCTCATCCACCGGAATTCTTCATGCCTTTTCATAATACTGTAGAGAATATTAAAGTCCGTACGGATTTCGGCCTGGAGACAGAAATTGAATCAAATGAATAGAAGAGAAAAAAAAATGAAAAAGTATAATGGTTTTCATGGCATGACATTTGAAAACTTGAAAGAGACAGTCAATTAAATACAGAGCTTCAAAAGTGAAACCTGTATAGCTTTAGTTTCGGGTCCCAGAGTTGCAAACTGAAGTGAAGGCCCTTAACTGCAGACACACTGTAAAGAAAAATGTTGGAAAATGAGAAACGGAGTGTGGCAAGCACACTGCAAAGCTCTGGGCCATGTTAAAATGCATGCATTTTTTACAATGAGAAAGCTTGAAGCACTTTATAATTTATTGTGGTTCTTTTGTAGGGCAGCAAACTCCTAGGAATATTGAAGTGACTTCTTCATAGGCTACCCAACACGGTGGAGGTTGCCAAAGAGCATTTTCAGTTCCACAATGTAAAGAGGGAAATAAAGGAAATACCTTTTTGCTTTTTATAAACTAGCAAATACCTAGTTTTGTCCCCTTCCAAACTAACATAAAAACTATTATTTTCTAAACAAATTAAAAGCCAGGAAGATCATTTTCCTAATACGCTGCTGTTGTTAAGTGTCATTGAGTTGGTTCCGACTCATAGCAACCGTTTAGGGGTTTCCAAGGAGCAGCTGGTGGGTTTGAACCACTGACCTTATGATTAGTAGTCCAGGGCTTATACTACAGTTTCACACCAGTACCCCTAATACAGCTGAGTATAATGTAGCTGATTATCAGTGATGGAAATAACAGAAATATAGTAGCAGCAGCATTTCTTTCACAGGGCAGATAAAACATACTGAATCCATCTTTCTGGAATCACCACAGTTCATCCTAAAGTTCTCATGTGACCACGTCCTTCTAAAACTCAGAGTTTCTCAGGGTTCCCATGGTCTAAAGAGTGGATCAGAAAGTGAAGGTCTGTGGGCCAAATCCTCCATGCTCCCTGTGTTTGTAAATAGGTTTTTACAGGAACACACCCACACCCGTGTGTATACACACAGTCTAAACTACTCTCTGTGTTGCAACCACAGAACTGACTCGTTGTGACAGTGACCATATGTCCTGCAAAAATGAAAATATCTACTGTCTGACTTTTTTACGCACAAAGAATGCTTAAGACTGATCCTTAGTCTAAAGATGAGGTTCTTTCTGCTCCTGCAAAGATTTACAGCCTTGGAAATCCTAGAGGGTTGCTAAGAGTCAGAATGGATAACACACCACATTTAACATCGAAGTCTAAAGAACAATGACGTAAGTTTTTTTTTGTTTTTTTTTTTGGGAAAAACTTTGCCTTTTTGGAATTTACAGTCTCAGCTTTTAGGTAAGGTTTTTACATTTATCTGTGGGTATCCAGGGCTCATGTATGTAATTACTAACCAGCATATCTGAATAATCAGATAAGGGACATTTTGCTATGTCTGCTAGGTGGCTAAAGTCTGATCCTCAGAGCCCATGGTTTGGACGGTCAGCAATGCTTGGGGCCCACAGGGACATGAACTCCTGACCGGGTCTGCATGGTCTGCATCAGATTCCCCCTTATTTATTATTTGTTTAAGGGACGCTGCCTGTCTTAGGCGGTCAGTGCGAAATGACGTAAGCTTTTAATGTGGCATACAAGGCCTTTCAAGGTTCCCAGTGTTTTCAATCTCATCTTCAGCTCTTCTCATCTACACACCATAGACCCATGGTGTCTGGATTACTTCCTGACATGCAAAGCTCTATTGTGACTGATGGCTTTGCATACACTTTCAAATACCAGAGAAACCCTTCTCTCTTTGACCTAGTATAATCTCACTTATAATTTTATCTATTTTCATACATTTTTGTTGCTGTTGAGGATACACTCAGCACAACAAAGACCAATCCAACAGTTGCTATAAGTATGAGGGTAAATCCAAAGGCATTGCTACTAAGGTTCCAGTTCATAGATGCACAAGTTTATTCCAAACAAAACATGTTTAGATACATTTCTGCAATCAGTGGATGGTTAAGGACAAACTCTCTTAGTAATATACTTGTGTTAATTTCATTTGGTTGTCTACCAAAAAAAAACAAAAAACAAAAAAAGGTTCAAGTAAAATAGTGGCTTCCAAGGGGATCTGCTGGGCCAGTTCAATTCAAGGCAGAGAGGTCAGCCCATAAGGTCATAGCAATTGTTTCTTTGGATTTGAAAGGACTGCAAGGTTGCTTTGAATTGCAAAGTCAATTGTTCAAATTTACCAGCTGCTCCTTGGAAACCCTATAAAGGGTCACTATGAGTCAGAACCGACTCAAAGGCACTTAACAACAACAATCTTGATAAGATTTTTTTTAGAAGGACACAGGACAATCACAAGGGTTATTTGGAAGAAGTGTTAAGAAAAATGAAAACTGCATTAAGAAAAAAGTCAGGGAAACTGTGCCAAGGATTTTTTTCCCATCATGACAATGTACCTGCTCATTCTTCAAGGGTGGCAAGGACGGTCCTACAAGGATTTTGTTGGGAAACCTTACCCCACTGACCCTGTAAACTTGATGTTGTCCCTTCAAACTTCTTTATGTTTCCCAAACTCACAAAACACTGAAAGGTACATGATGTGAGCCTCGGGAGTCTGAATTGAGGAGCACATAATTCTTCAGGGAAAAGTTAGAAAAATGGACACATCATTTTAAGAAGTATATAGATCTAAGTGGATGATGTGTCCAGAAACAATTTTCAAATATCCAAATGTGAAAAACCTATTGCTCACATTTAAAAAATTTTGTTTAATACAGGTTTCTAAGATTTAAAGTGATATTAATTACAGTATTTGAGTTGTGCCACCATTCTTGCCTCCTTTTTTTGAGTTCCCCCTCATTAACATACACTCAGTGCCCCCTAAGGTTCCTACCTAATATTTTGAGTTTCTGTTGTCAGTTTGGTCTCATATAGATAGTTCTTAAAATAATATAGTGCTCAATCTTTTTCACTACTTAAGCAAAACTACTGTTCTATTTTATGACTTCAGGGATATATTTGGCTTAAGGTTCAAACATTACTTCAGGGCAGTAATTTCCAACCTCCATGACTCCAGAAAGTCTGGAGTCCATGAGAATTTTAAATCTGTTCTACATTCTCCTTTTGATTAGGATTTTTCTATGGAATCTTTAATCGAGACATTTAATAATGGAAGATCCAGGACAAGATGGCACAGTAAGCAGCTAGACCGTGCTGGCTCTCTTCAACAAAGACATGGGAGAGTGAGTGAAACAGATACAGATGGTGATCCTGGAATCAGAGGACAAGACAGAGAGGTGGACTGAGTGCCAACTGGAAGAGGAAGCTGAACAGGAGCAACAAGAGAGAAGAAAAACTAAAGGGCTGTGGGGTACTATGGAGTGGTGTGGCCATCTTGAGCTTTTTCAAGCAGCTGTTGATACAGAGACATGTGGGCACTGGCTGCAGTTGGAGTTTGGCGGCAAGGGGCTTTGCTTCTCCCTTGTTCTGGAGTCCTTGTGGTAGACAGGGTGGTGGCCAGTCCACACCCTGGGCAAACCAGCAGTCAGTGGCAGCCCTTCCTTCACAGAATTTCTGTTCTGCATGGGCCAGGGGGACAAACATAACGTCTGCTTCTGGAGGTGTGTGAACTCCTCTGAACTACTTGACACAAACAGTGAACACAAAACTACCTGAATTCATACTTTCGGTCTCTACCACATGCACCAGGACCCAGGTGGTGAGTGTTTGAAAATAAACCAATAAACAATCATCAACTAAATATAAATCTGACCACAATGTCTTGGAGAAAACAGACAATTTTAGCTTACACAAAGAAACAAGACTTAACAAAGTCACAAAAATATAGTAAAAAATATAACACCAGAAATGGTATCAGAACTAACTGATAAAGGAATTAAAAGAATGGTAATTAGGCAACTTCAAAGGATTGTGAGAAAGATTGAAAAAACTGCAAATGAAATCAAGGAAACAGATAAAACTGTAGAAAAGTCCAGTAAGCAAATTGACAAAACAATTGAAAAATTGGGACCACATAAAAACAATTGGAAAAACAGAAGATTAATGCTAAGACTTCAGAAATAGTAACATACTAAAAGGGCAAAGAAATACAATTGAATCAAAGAGCAAAGCTAAATTACTGAGATTAAAGAAAGATTTCTCAATAATCATTTTCTAGAGGAACAATCAGGAAAGGGAACAAAAAAGTCTGAAAAAGCCTAATATTTATGTGGGATACTATCAAAGAGGAATATGTGTGATAAAAATTCAAGAACTGTAAGAGACAATAAACAAAACAAAACAAAAAAACAGTCCATTGAGAATCTTGTCCCAAAGTTGTTGGAATAAAACTTCCCTAACACTGTGAAGACAGCCATTCAAGAAGTTGAACAAACTCCAAACAGCACAGACCCCAATGACATACCAGAAACAAACTTTTCAAAACCAAAGACAAGGAAAGAATCCTTAAAGCAGCTCAGGAAAAATGAAAAGTTACCTACAAAGGAGACCACTAATAAGACAAGTTCTGATTTCTCAGAAGAAACCATGCAAGCAAGAAGAGAAATATAGAACGCTGAAAGAAAAATTATTGCCAACTAAGAATCATATATCCTGCAAAACTGCCCATCAAATATGATGGTGAAATTAGGTCATTTTCAGACAAACAAAAATGAAAAGAATTTGTGAAAAAAATAGACCAACCTTAAAAAAATTCTAAAGGGAGTTCTCTGGACAGAGAACCAACAACAACAGACAACAATCTGAGACAAACATACATGCCAATGATCACTTAGACTCAACCCAAATATATATTCATAAAAGAATATAATTTTATTTTCTGGGGGTAATATCTTTGTCTGCTATCAGTGTAACTGTTATGTTTCCTTCATAGAAAGAATTAGGAAGAATTCCCTGCATCTCCCCCTTTTGGAAGACTTTAAAACGTATTGATGTCAATTCCTCTCTAAATGTTTGGAAGAATTCCCCAATGAAACCATCTGGTCCAGTACTTTTTGTTGTTGCTGGGAGGATTTATTTGATCATGGATTGGATCTCTTCACCTAATATGGGAGACTTTCTATTTACTCTTCAGTCAGTTTAGGTAGGTTGTATGCTTCTAAGATTTTTTTTTTTCCCCCATTTCATCTCAGCTATCCAATTTGTTGTACAGTTTGCTCATTTTTATTTTAAAATTTTTGTTGATTTTTCTTATTTCCTTTCTTCTGACAGATTTAGACTTAGTTTGCTTTTCTCTTTCTAGTTCTGAGAGATGCCAAATTAGGCTGTTGATTTGAGATCTTTATTATTTTTCAGGTTGGTATGATGGTAAGTTTCCCTCTGAATACTGCCACTGATGTATTCTTTAACTTTTGGTATGCTATACATTCATTTTCAATTGACTCAAGGAATTTTTTTATTTCTTTTTGTACTTTGTCCTTGATCTTTAGGTCACTTAATAGTGTTTTGTTTAATTTACATATGTTTGTGTGAGTGTGTTTTCCCCATAATAATGATTTTTAATTTCCTTCATTGTGATTGTTATTGTTAGGTGCCATCGAGTCAGTTCCAACCCATAGAAACCCTGTATAGGGTTTCCAAGGAGCAGCTGGTGAGCTTGAACCACCGAACTTGCAGTTCAAGTGGCTTTGCCGTCTGGCGTATTAATCCATAGCGCCACACCAGGACTACGCATGTGTTTAATTTCAATCTTTTAAAATTAATCAAGACTTGGTTTGTGACCTAAAATGTGGTCCGTCCTGTAGAAGGATCTGTGTTCACTGGAGTAGAATGTATGAAGGGGCTTCAAAAAGTTCATGGAGAAGTGAAATTGAAAGATAATGGAATTTTTCCAGGAGCTTTTTAAAGCCCCCTTGTATAATGTATTCTTGTTGGGTGGAGAGTTCTATATATTTAAGTCTAGTTGGTTTATTCAGGTCCTTGGTTTCCTTGTTGATCTTCCTTATGGATGTTCCTTCTGGAATTCCAATGATACATATTTCAGGTGTCTTGTTTTCCCATATTTCCATTAACTTGTGCTCAACCTTCTTTATGTTCGTCACATCATAATTTTAACTATCTGGGGTGGGGCTGTGGGATAATGTACTAGCCCACAAGGTCCATTTGAGCTGCAAAGTCAGTGGTTCAAATTCAGCAGTTGTTCCTTGGAAACCATGTATAAGATCACTATGAGTCTGAACCCACTTGAGGGTACTTAACAACAACAATATCCTCTAATTTACTGATTTTTTTCTTTTGTCTGTTTAAATCTGTTGCTAAGTCTGTCTATTGTGTTTCTCATTTCAGCTATTGTCCTTTTGAATTGCAGTAACTTTTTGAGATTCTCATGTTACTCTTGCTTTGTTTTCCTTATTTGTTTTAGTTCTTTGTTATATTTTCCCTTAGTTATTTAATAATGCTTAATTTTGTTGTATAATATTTACCCATTCTTTTCATTATTTGGTCATTCCTAGATGCACTCTGTCATGTTCATTTAGACGGTTATTGTTTCTCTGTTCTTTGTGTGTTTTGTGATTTTTTTTTTGGTGGTGCACTGGAATTTTCAAGGGCATTAACTTTTTCAGTTCTTTCTCTTATTTGGGTGATTTTGCCCGCACAACTTTCTGCAAAAATTTCTTAGGCAGGCAAAGCCTTCATCCTTTGTTTATCTCCCCTCTCCTTTCCTGTGATAGTTCCTTTACCTAACCCACCCACGGTTTACTGAAGATTCAGAAATTCCAGATATTGGTGTTCAACTTTCAATTCCTCCCAAACACATGCTGTGACCAATCCATCCACCAGTCAGCACTGTCCCTCAGGTAAAATATCCTGTACTAATCAATCTGTCTACGAGGGGGCTTAGTTATCTCTCTGGTTATTACTCCTTTTTCTTTCATGTTCCTGCAACCACATTTTCAGCCAGACAGCCCACATCCAGTGAGCCCTCTTTGGGGATGGGTGTTGCCCTCAGGTTTTTTATCTATGCTCCCCCTTCCTTGCTCTGTGTGGGCTGCTTCTATTTGAACTGGCTTTCAGGAGAAGTACAAGCATATTTCCCTTTTTTTAGGCAGGGGAGGGACTAGCACCCCATAAAGGTTACCCAAGAAATCTGTCTTTTTCACTTCAGAGTCCCAGATAGATTTCCACAGGACTGGTGACAGAACTTTTTCAGCATAACACTATTTTCCATTACACAGCTTGAGTTTCTAGATGATTCCACATGCACACCCACCTGGCATCTGACATAAATGTACAAGCTTACTAAATGGTTTCAAAAAATCGCTTACCAATGAGTTATGATCAGCTTCTTCGTAGGGATTTTTTGCTCTCCAAGGTAAATGAGGACACCAATTTTCAACCTGAAAAAAACATAAATAAATCAGTCTCTCAATACCCTTATGTGATTTCTTCAAATGAATTCATATATACACAAAGCACTGAGAAGAGCAGCTGGAACACAGCATCACATTAATGTTGGCTATTAGTCAAACTCCTACATTTGGTTGCAATCCAGATGGAATAATTAGCGAAGGTCAAAAGGAGCAAATAATAACACTTTACATTTGTCTTTCAAAGTGCTGCATAGCCACTATCCTCTCTGACCCTCATACTTCTGCATCACCAGAAGAGGGCTTCATAGGGCAGAAATTGAAAAGACTCGAACATTGCCACTGGGTAGAATTAGAAGGCAAGGACTTCTGTCTGCCATGGCTTGTCTGGAAAGGAAGCAGGCAGTTGAGTCATACAACTCAAACATTTGTCTCAGAATTAGGAATTCAATTATAAAGTTTAAGGCTTCTACAATGTTGAAGCTTTCCTCATGTTCTGGTGGTTCACTTCACCTTATCTCAGGGAAAACAGTGGTAAACCTATTGGAGAAAGGGGAGAAAGAAAAAGGAAAATCCAAAACTCAGCGATCTTGTGGGAGCGGAATGTTTTCTGCTAATGAGCCGGGGGAGGGGAAAGCCAGGGAAAAATGCCATTTATAGGAGCTACTTGAACAAAGATTAACAAAGAAAATAAGGACACAAGGCAAATGCATTTTTAATAAAGAAAAAAAAATGAAAATCACATGAAGAATGCACTGAGTAATATGGATGACTAGCCTCTTTATCAAAATTGGCAATATAATTTCAAGATATTGTTGTTTATGTTAAGTGCAATCAAGTTGGTTCTGACCCATAACGACCCTGTACAGGGTTTCCAAGGAGTGGTTGGGCAGGGTTTCCAAGGAGTGGCTGAAGAGTTTGAACCATTGGCCTCGTTGTTCAAAATGACCTTGCAGTTGAGTGCTTATCCTACAGAGCCACAGCAGGACTATTAAACTAAGCCTACAGCACCTGGTATTTATTCCCAGGCAGTTTCCCATCCAAGTGCTAACCACGCTCAACCCTGCTTAGCTTCTGAGATCAGGAGTATTCAGGGTGTAATGGCATTATTGGAGGGTACTGGTTGGTAGCACAGTGGTAGCATTTTTACCTTCCAAGTGGAAGACCCAGGTTCAATTCCCAGTCAATACATTTCATACACACTTATCACCTATTTATCAGGGAGGTTTGGGTTCCACAAAAAGAGCTCTGGTAGCATAGTGGTTACGAATCATGCTGCGAACTTTGAGGTCAGCAGTTCAAAACTACCAGCAGCTCCGTGGGAGAAAGATGAGGCTTTCTGCTCCCATAAAGATTTACAGCGTCGGAAACCGTGTGCAGGGTCGCTATGGGTCGGAACCGACTCAACGGCACTTAACAACAACAACAACAAATGATGCTCAAGGACATCCTGGTGTGTAGCTGCAGGATAATGTGCTGGACTGAGAGGCTGGTTCAAATTGCAAGGTTGGTGCTTTAAACTCACCAGCCACTCCTAGAAATGCTATATTTTGCTATGAGTACGAACCGACTCTATGGCACTCAACCACAACATTATGCTGAACATTCTTCAGTAAAACTTCCAGATTAAGGCCTGACAATAAATTCAAATTATCAGCCAGAAAAATCCCTATGGACTGCAGTGGTCCAATTCTATTCTTGGATTTGACTCAATGACTGCACACAATGACATTATTAAAGATGGCTAATAAGCAACCAAGGCGCCCTTTGTAGCACAATGATTAAAGTGGTTCAAAGCTACCCAGAGGTTTCCATGAACTAGTACAGCCAAGAAAACCCTATTGGGCAGTTCTACTGTCACATGGAAGGAGCTCTGGCAGCGTAGGGGTTACGAATTAGGCTGTGAAACTCAAGATCAGCAGTTTGAAACTACCAGCTGTTCCGCGGGAGAAAGATGAGGCTTTCTGCTCCCATAAAGATTTACAGCCTCGGAAACCCTGTACAGAGTTACTACGAGTCGGGACCGACTCCACGGCACATAACCAACACCACCACTGTCACATGGGGATACAATGGGTTGAAATCAAATTCGACAACACCTAAGAAAAACAATAAACAGCCACTGAAAATAATTTTTCAATGAGTTGGTCAGGTGGACCTATAATATGAGACCCCTACTTGTAGGTTAGCACAGAACAGCCAAACAAAACTGTTTGCTCTGGAGCTCTGGGAGAATTTTCAAAGACACTTGTCCATTTTACTAATCTAGAAATTACTCTTAATGCAAGGTAATTTTTACTATCACCAAAAATAACTGGCCTGATTTGCATAAAGAGTTGTTGTTGTCAAGTGCTGCCGATTCAGTTCCGACTCATAGTGACCTTGTATCAGGTTTCCGAGAAGCAGCTGGTGGGTTTGAACTGCCAACCTGTGGTTTGCAGTCCAGTGCTGATCCTACAGTGCCAAAACATATACCAGTATAAATACTCTAATAGCAAAATGCAGAAGGTAGTTAGGGTTGGGGAGAGCAGAACCCCTTGAAAGAAAAAATGCAGTGCTCCTTTTTCTTCTGGTGGGATAAATTAACCACCTGCTGTCAAATCAGTTCTGACTCATGGTAATCCGATGTGTGTGTCAGAGGACAGCTGTGCTCCTTCCACCAATGGCTGATGTTTTTTTTTTTTTTTAAAGTAGCTAGCTAGGTCTTTTTTCTGAGATGCCTGTGGGTGGACTTGAACCTTCAATCTATTGTTTAGCAGCTGAGTGCTTAAACATTTGCACTATCAAAGGACTGTGGGGTAAAATTAGACTTAATCATATCTGTGAATGATTCAGAGACTCCCCAATAGGAAAGTTGAAATGATTCTTATAAAAAATTGTTTTGGATGCTTATGGTCTAATTACTGACCTCCAGCAATATCACCATGAGAAGCATTATCTGGAACTCCAAATAAGAGAGACATGGGGGTCTGCAGAAAAGCAGCCTGCCTATAGTGAAATCCTGGTTGATTCCAGCAGTACCACACACATCTGTGCCTCATACTCCTAGGCCACATTGAATTATTGAGCTCAGTTCAAATTTTTATAAATGGACTCAATAAAATATTACTGAAAAGCATATTTATAACATGAATGTTTCAAATAGATTGCATACATGACAGTGTGAGCTTCCCTCCCTACCACCCCCCAACACACACACACACCAAGCATGAACATGAGCAAGCAGGGCACAGACATGAGATAAAGCCCTCTCAAAATAAATAATTTAATTTACCCAGTAACATGCTTATATAAAAAGATTTCCCTGTGAGCAGCATTGTGAGGAGAGATGAAACAAGATTATGAATAAAGAAAATCAACTTTAAGGAGAGACATTATTGAAATCAGATATTGATAATGCAGGCATATGTTGCTTAATGTCCATGATGTGTACGTCATGTGATTTGGACACTGTGCAAATGCCATTATTATATACAGGATTAGGAGCTCTGGTAGCGTAGTGGTTACGAATCGGGCTGCGAACCTTAAGGTCAGCGGTTCGAAACTACCAGCCGCTCCGCGGGAGAAAGATGAGGCTTTCTACTCCCGTAAGGATTTACACCCTCGGAAACCCTGTACAGGGTCGCTATGGGTCGGAACCGACTCGACGGCACTTAACAACAACAACAACAAATCCTGGATTATCAATGAACTTCATTACTAAGTCTGTATTTTAAGTCAAATGTGTACATAAGCTGAAACAGTTAGGTGAGGTTCCTATCTACTGTATGTTGGTCAAATGCGTCTTAGTATATACTATATAGTGTATCTTTGTATGTATAAGAGCTCTGGTGATTCTGTAGGATAAGCATAGGATTGCTAACAATTAAGTTGGCAGTTCAAATCCACCAGCTATTCTGTGGGAGAAAGATGAGCCTTTCTGATTCTGTAAGATTTACAACCTTGGAGACCCTATATGAATCACTATGAGTCAGAACTGACTCAGTAGTGGTTGGTTGGTTTCTATGTATAGCAAACATTAAAGAGAAACACTTCCAGATACATCTTTAGCATAGTAATACAGTAATAATAATAATTTTCAATACTATTACAAGTAGGGCATGTTTATTATTAAGAACCACTGTTGTTGTTAAGTGCTACTGAGCTCACTGGGACTCATAGAGACACAACTACTGACCTTGTGGTTAGCAGTCCAGTGCTTATCCTTCAGCGTCACACCAGTACATACCCTCAGATTTCTAGTATTCTAGGTCTGATGAGATTGGGAACACGGACATATATGTGGTCAGATGTTGTCTGAACAGACATTATACAGCACCTGACTGTATATTCCTATCCATTCTCTTGCCCCATGAAGAATTTTCCAAGACGCACTCTGCTGAAAATCTGGTCCAAGGTAATCTTTTAAAACATGACTTCCCTATAGAATATCAGACTTTAATTCTGCTTTGAAATTGATCATTTATTTTAGTTCTTTTTACTCTGAAGCACCAGATAATACATTTCAGGGTTTCAAGGGCAGGCCTGTAAGTATGGAAACTAGAGTTGGTCTATTTTAGCTTTTAGCCAGAAATTGTACCATTACACATTCATTCATAATGGTGGAAAAATCAGTTACGAACATCTTGACAACAGAATGAATGACAAGGAAGTGTTCTGAAGGCTGTTGTTTTTGTACATAGTGATGGGATAACTGGTTAACAAAATAATTAAGTTATACATAAACCAATTACTCCAATGGGGGGGGGGGGATTTCTTTCTTTCTGAAACCTCAGAGGATTACTAGAATTGGAAGACAGCCAGCACTGGCAATAACTCCTGAAACAAACAGCCCTGAAATGAATAACATTTTCCTAAACAAGAGCATCATTAATAACATTCGGGAAGACTCTTGCTCAGGCTAATAACTCTGTCTCTTTCACCCAGCCTCCTTGAACAAGCTAAACCCACCAGGACAGCATCATACCAATAAAGCTGTACTGCAGAACAAGCTCACTGCCTGTCTGACTAGGGGGTTCCCCAGTTCCCCA